GAAAGTAAATATAGATTAGAAATAGCATATAAAAGAGCTCGAATTATGTTAGAAGAAAATAAGAGAAATAATAAGGAATTATATGATAAAAAAGTAATAAACATAGATATATCGGTAGGAGATAAAGTCCTACTTAAGAATGAAACAGGACATAAGTTAGATCCAACTTATTTAGGACCCTATACAGTAGAAAAGTTAGAAGATAACGATAATATAATAATTAGGGATACTAAAAAGAAAAAACAAAGAGTACATAAGGATAGATTAAAATTTTATAATAATTGAATTGAAAACTCTAATATAAACAAAGAAAATTGTTCGAACAAAATAATACAAAACAATAAAAAGGAAAATGGAATTTAAGAAAAGGAAACTTAAAAAGAAAGAAAAATTCTTTTCTTTTATAAAAAAGAGACAACATTTAAAATAAAATACTAACACATACATATATTTTTTTAAATACACATAGTTAAACATATACATTTACACATACATATTAACAAACATTTTTATATTAAAATAATATAAACACAAAAAAAAAAAAAAATACAAACAAAAATAATTAACATTAATACTTAAAATAACTACATAAATTACGTTATTTTTTAAAAGGAGGGAGATGTAGCATGCGTACATATGTATATACATACATATGAATAAGGCTGCAACACTTTGTTGTTATGCCAACAGAATGCAAACATAAGCAGCGACTTTGTCGCAGCGCGCCTAACGCTAAGTGCCCTCTGCGCATATTCAAGTGCAGACGAAATATGATCCGCACTTGATAGCAACGACCGCCCAAATAGCTAAGTCAGCGTTCTCACGCTTGACCGTCGCTGTGTATACATATGTGCGCGCATGACTCTCTCTGACTCTCTTGTTGTATATAATAAGCCTAAAAACCATGTATGTAAAACGGCTGCTCACTGCTTCACGGTGGACAGCTCTAACTCCAAAAAACATTGAATAAAGAACCATCAAGGAAGACTGACGTCTTTTCATCAGGGACTATTATATTATAATAGCAACTACATGGTAAGTACGCTTACAAATTTGTTAATAGTTGCACGGAGATAACAGATCAAAGTAACACAGTCCTGTATTATCGACGATGTGCAAACAACAATAATAGAGGAGGCCGAGGATATATTTGTGGCAGAAATTACAACCACAACAATTACAACCGAGGCGGTAATAACAATATTTACAATAACCGTGGAGGAAGACGAGGCCAAAATCGTGGAAGAGTCCGAGGTAATTCCAACCAAGGTAATAATAATAACAATGTGAGAGTGGCACAAAATGCATCGGAAAACTCTCAGGACCCTTTAGGAAACAACAAGTATATGCAAAGGTTCATTCCATCAATTACAGTCTTAATATATTTGTCACATTTTATAATCATTCAACTGAAAATAAACTCACATTCCTAATAGATACTGGTGCAGATATCTCACTTTTAAAAATAAACTCAAATAAATTTAAAATTCATGAAGAAAAAATTATAAACATCCAAGGCATAGGCCAAGGTGTAATAAAATCTCGAGAAACAACTTTAATAAAACTACAATCAACAAAATATATTATTCCACACGAATTTAATTTAGTGGATTCAGATTTTTCAATACCATGTGATGGAATAATAGGCATTGAATTTATTAAAAAATTCAATTGTCAATTAGATTTCAAACCAAGTGAAGACTGGTTTATAATTAGACCTCAAAATTCAAATTATCCTTTTTATGTTCCAATAATATATAGTGCTAGCAACAATAAAGTTCTTCAGCCAGCCAGATCCCAAGTAATTCGAAAAATAGACATTAATACAATAAATGATTATATATTTGTTCCTAATCAAGAAATACATAATGAAATTTTTGTTGCAAATACAATAGCAGCATCCAAACATGTATACATTCTCCTTCTAAACACAACTAATTTTGACCAATTGGTCAAAGTAAACAAAATCCAATATGAAAATTTAACAGATTATGACATTCATAACTCTAATCCAGAAAATAGAAGCGAACAAGTACTTTCAAAATTAAAGACAAATTTTCCAGAACAATTCAAAAGTCAACTCAACTAAGTATTGTGATATGTTCGGACTGGAAACCGAACCAATAGCGACGATTAATTTTTATAAACAAACATTAAGACTTAAAGATGATGAACCCATTTATATTAAGAACTACAGAAGCTCGAATAGCCACGTCGAAGAAATTCAAAAACAAGTAGGGAAATAAATAAATGACAATATCGTAGAACCATCTGTATCCGAGTATAACAACCAACTCTTGTTAGTTCCTTACCAAATTCGAAAGAAAAGAAATTGGCGATTAGTAATTGACTATCGTCAAATCACCAAAAAACTACTTTCTGATAAATTCCCACTCCCCAGAATTGATGATATTCTAGACCAACTGTCAGGTTTCCACCAAATTGAACTTGAAGAAAATGCAAGATATATAACATCTTTTTCAACGAGCAATGGCCCATATCTCTTCACGCGATTAGCATTTGGCCTTAAAATAGCAGAAAATTCATTTCAGAGAATGATGACTATTTAGGGTTTCTCGGGTTTAGACTCTTATGACTTAATGGTGATAGGATGTTCCGAAAAACACATGATTAAAAACTTAACTGATGTTTTTAATGTATGCAGGAAATATAACCTAAATTTTTCATTTTTCATGCATGAAGTGACATTCTTAGGTCACAAAAGCTCTGACTAAGGAGTATTACCAGATGACAAGAAATTTGACGTCAATAAAAATGATCCTGTCCTTCATGATGCGGACAGCGCGAGACGATTTGTAGCATTCTGCAATTATTATCGTCGATTTATAAAAAAAACTTCGCCGATTATTCACGGCATATGACTAGATTATGTAAAAAGAATGTTCCTTTTAAATGGTCAAGTGAATACCAAAACTTATGCACCCCACATTATTACAATGTCCTTATTTTCGCAAAGAATTTTGCATTATAACAGGTGCTAGTAAACAAGGTTGCGGAGCGGTTCTAACTCAGAACCGTAACGGAATTCAGCTCCCAATAGCTTATGCATTTCGTTCATTTACAAAACGGGAAAGCAAAAGAGCACAACAGAACAAGAGTTAGCGGCAATTAATTGGGCAATTGCCCATTTTAGACCATATATTTATGGCAAACACTTTACTGTTAAAACGGATCACAGACCATTGACATATCTTTTTTCTATGACTACTCCCAGTTCGAAAGTAACTCGCATGCGGCTAGAGCTTGAAGAAAATGACTTAACAGTAGAATACCTAAAGGGGAAGAATAATTTCGTAGCAGACGCACTTTCGCGTATTAATATAAAAGAACTCAAAGATATGCAACATAAAGTGTACAGTAGAAAATTATGAACTTCTGCCAAGGCAAAGTCATAAAAATGTATCTAAGCCAACGTACATGAAGTCATTACAAATGATGAAGTACGAAAAGTAGTGACCTTGCGCATAACAGAATCTAAATGTTTTTTTAAACATGGAAAAAAATTATCACAAGAATTTAAGTTAGCAATTTATATACTAATGGAATCCTCAATTTAGGTAAGTTCTTCCAAAAGCTTGAAACAGAAGCCGGTATATTAAAAATCAGCCAACTCAAAGTGGAACAGAGCGAAAAGATCTTTGAATCAGTTTCAATAGATTCCTTTAAAATTAACGGCAATCAAATATTATAATCTTTAGGAGTAACGCTACTCCAGCCGGTGACCCAACTAAACGATGAACAAAAAATACAACAAATACTGTCTACATACCATGACGACCCAATTCAAGGAGGCCATAGTGGCATAACAAGAACGCTAGTGAAAATAAAAAAACACTATTACTATTACTATTATTCATATAAAAGAGTACGTACGTAGGTGTCAAGAATGCCAAATGTCTAAAAGAAAGACACACCCAAAAACTCCTTTGACTCTCACAGAAACACCTGTGAATGCTTTCGGTATAGTGATAGTGGATACAGTTGGTCCGCTACCTCAATCGGAAAATGGCAGTGAATACATAGAAACATTAATATGTGACCTTACAAAATATTTAGTATTCATTCCAATATAAAGCAAAAGCTCAAATAATGTCGCAAAAGCTATATCCGAAAATTTCATACTCAAGTTTGGTCCAATGAAGACGTTCATTTCAAACATGGGAACAGAGTATAAAAACCAGATTTTAACTGATTTATGCAAGTATATTAAGATCAAGAATCTCACCTCTACCTCTAATGAATACATTCGTTCATACTTCTCTGCAGACTAAACTGACTGGGATGTCTGGATTCAATATTTCACTTATTGCTTCAACACGACACCACCAGCAACGCATGAGTATTGTCCATACGAACTGATATTTGGCAGACTACCAAAACAGTTCATAGACTTAAACAAAACAAAGCTATGTACTCCTATTTATAATTTAGATGACTACTCTAAGGAAATAAAGTTTAGATTAGAAATAGCATACAAAAGAGCTAGAATTATATAGAAAAATCCAAGGCTTCTAGGAAATTAAAATATAATGAAAAACAAAAAAATTTGAAATAAAAGTAGGAGATAAAGTACTTATACAAATTAGAGCCAGTTTATTTAGGACCATATATAGTAAAGAAAACAGAAAATATTGACAACATTTTTATTAAAGGTAGTAAAGATAAGAAACGAAAAGTACATTAGGATAGGCTAAAAAAATATATTCAATAAAACGTTTCATGCAGCAAAAAAAAAAAGAAAAACACTAAAAAACAAAATTGTTTATGTATTCTTCTAGGTAAATTTAAAATTAAATAAAACGTAAACTCGAATATATTAAAATTAAAAATTGGTAATGAACACAAAAGTTAAAAAAAAAAAACAAGTAAGATGTTTTAGTCGGGAGCTCCCGACTAGAGGATACCCTGAGCCCTCCTCTTCCAACATCAAATGCATATATATTCTATTTTTGAAGCTATATGTCAAGTTTGGTGCCTCTAGCTCTTTTTATTTACCAAAATTGCCCAAAAAACAGGATATCGATATCGATTTTTATCGATTGCTTGGAAACGAAGTAAGTTATCGCCGAGCTTGCGATCCACGGCGCCAGAAGGGGCGATCGCTATTGGCCGCCCGATTCGCTCCCAAAGAGATAGTAGGGAGAGTGGATCGCATGTCCTTGTCCTTGGCCTTCATTTGGGCCGTTGATCCACAAAAATCAAGCTGTGTAGGTGAGCAGCAACGGTGCCCGCCTCGCAAATGTATGCGTGTTCCGAAATTCGGCGCCCATGTTGTTCCTGCCCAAATGTATACAGGTGAGTTCGACTTTGTCAACGGTCAACGGTGGGTGTGCCGTGCTCAAGAGCGAGTTGAAGTTTTTCATTGCCGGTCCCAACAAAAAGGAAACTCTAATAGAGTAACCTCACCCATTTTTCAGCGCATAGTGCTTGAATTCCGCGCACTTGTCAATGGCGCCAATTTCACGACGGCGAGACGACCACCCACAGACGAGGCCCCCACGACGACGAAACGGCCACTGGCAAGAAAAGCCACCAAAACCGGGGTCCAACAGCGAAGACGCAGCCCACGCCCACTTAATCACTGAGTGAGTCCGTTCCACGTCGTTCTTCCTTCGCCCGAGCAAATGGCCCAGTCAGACATAGACTCCTAAGAAAACAGATATTTTTTTTTGTTTATTAAATACCTATAGTACATACTTACGCCAAGTTCCACCTAAGTTATAGCATCCACAGCTGCGAAAAAGGAGCAAAGAAAAGGGTGTTTTAAAGTTCCATATATATATTTACAAATAAAGAAATAAACTTTATATTTAATTTCATCGCCCTTAGCACCCCAGAGAGCTCTTCAGGTAGGCTAAGTGTAATTTAAGCGATTTAATTCCCACTTGATTAGTTTCTATATACGCAACTTTCCAACATACCATTTTGTTTTCAGCGTGGTAACACACACATATATATACATACATAAGCGTCCGCGAGTTTGAGGGAGCCTGTTGCTTACCTTCATAATAATTTATTTGTCCTCCAACGTGCTCCCGGTGGCAAATGGTCATAACTTTCCGTGACGTCTTTGCTTCGCTTGTGGTTCGCCTAAAAATTCAAAATTTTAAAAAAAATTTATAGTCATTGTACAAGTTAACACATAACACTTAATATAGGATATTTCATAAGTTTATAATCAACCCTCGCTATCGCGTGCTTCATAAGTTAAGGAACAGCCCTTGCAACTGCGACACTGCATACTTTGTATCAGCGCGCTATAGCTGCAATGGTCAGCGGCGGTAACCGGACACTTGTTTTGCTGCAAGAGTTTCCGTTATTGCCTAAGTTTGCTGAATCGGCTTGCCGACCATGACATTGTGGCGTGATGCGAGTTTTGGCTTAGCTTAAGTGAAATATTCTGTGTATTAAGAAATTAGTTTTTAATGCGGCTTTCACTGAGGCACATCGGCCCAGGGACGCTTAAATTAACTCACTCACTACGGCGTATCGGCCTAGTGTTTTATAAATAACCAAAATAAAGTCTTATGACGCAAATCCGCGAAGACCTTTTTATTTAAATATTAATTTACATAACATAACAATATCCGTTAAAATGCCAGTAATATGCACTTACACGAAATTATAAATAGCAACTTGCAGATATTCTGCAGGAGAGTAAGCAATAAGATTAAATGTTAATAATTATAAGAAATGTAACCAATTAAGTAACGCACCTGAAGAGAGAAATGTCCGGCTAAATTTTCATTGATGGGGAAAGTTGGCATAACAGCCGGCACGGGCTAATGTAGGCCAAAATAAGGGAGACGAGTGAAGGTGTTCGTCTCATGGTAGGGGGGGTACGCTGGGTCCGGAACCGGGACTCGATCTGGAAAACTAAAGTGGATTATTAGTGTTTTTTGTTAAATTATATTAGCGTCACACCTTTGGTGTTTACATTGATTTGTCGTCGCAGCTGTTTATGTTATTCATTTGTTAGAAGTTCCGACTGTTTGACGTTATCGGAGTGTGTGGTTCGTTTAGCATAGTGTTGTATAGGTGTGTATAGCTACGGACGTGTAGCTTTGTTGTTATCGATTATGCGGGCTGCGGCCAGGGAAAGGAATGTGCGTCAGATTAGCGGCGGTGACTTAGCGTCGAATTTTGGTACTTGTTATCGGAAAAGTATCGGTCACTTTCAAATGCATTTATTTATGTTTTTAAGTACGAAACCAAATAAATTTAAATGCAGAATTGCAAAAAATTTTTTTATATACTATCTACATTCATTTATTTCTTAATTTTAATTTATAATATGGGTAAACAAAGGGGTTGAAAAGTTAGGTTTTCACCATTCTTTAAATATCTTAGTTTAGGGATAATGGCCCCGAAAGCCGCATATACACGATTGAAGTCTATAGTTTCACCTAACCAATCTTGAAAAAATTATAAAAAGCGATCAGCACGTTTTTAAGATATTTGAACTACAGTGCAGCAACCTCGTTGCTAGACCCATTCAAAATGACCATAAATCACCCTTGCACTTGAACCCTAATATATTTTCCCAGGGATAATGGCCCTCAATGCACGGTATACCAACTTGAAGATACATGTTTAAGGAAGCTTTACGCATTAATTCTAAACAAATTGATCAGCCAGTTTTTTAGAAAAATAACAAAATGTAAACACACCTCATGTTATTCATTCAAATGGCCTATCGAGCTACTAGCTCCAACGGGAACCGAACCACTGCTCAGAATCAGTGTTGAACAATGTGATACAGAATTGAGCGGGAATAAATTAATTCAAAATACTTGTATATGGAAAGGAAATGCAGTAATATATGAAATAATTGTCATTTTACAATAAAACATTATATTTGGTAAAATAGACTGCTACACATATAATAACGAAAAGGTGGCAATATTTATTATTTTTTTTATTATTCTATTTATTATTCTATTTCTCCGATAATGGCCCCAAATGCACGGTAGTTTAGCATATAGATCGCGAATTATCAATCATTTCGCTTTTTATATCAAGAAAATCGTCCAGCAAGTTTTTGAGAAATTCGCATTTTTCTATTTTTCTTATACCCCCTGTTTTGCATAAAAAAAACAAGCTGACAACATTACATATTTAACATATTTATTCATCAAAATGGCGGCGATATTTTAACCTTTATTATTCTACTTCTCTGATAGTGGCCCCTAATACACGGTAGTTTAACATATAGATCGCGAATTATCAATCATTTTGCCTTTTACATCAAGAAAATCGTCCAGCAGGTTTTTGAGATATTCGCATTTTTCTATTTTTCTTATACCCCTGTTATGCAAAAAAAAACTAGCTGGCAACACTTACATACTTAACATATTGCTACCAAAGGGTGGCAATATTTTTTTATAACGGTGTTTGAAATTGTATTTATTTAAATGGACTGAACGCCACAGCAATAACAGAAACTGTTAGCAAATTGAGGCATACGTGTTGGACGACAAGCCGTGCCGTGCAATGCCATGCCACAGGCGCCAATCACTTGCAATGATAATTGTAGACGGAATTCCTTATATGTGCCAGTGTAGCGGATCCTTGAATATACAAATATAAAAGTATAACAACGCTTAAGCACAATTAATCGAAAAATTTAATCTTACCATTTTGCGATTCCTGGAGCCATTTGGAGTTTTTTCTTATTTTATTATAGTAGCAAATATGTATATAATTAATTTAAATAATAAGAATATTATATTTTAAATGCTAATGTCACAAAATTGGCGTGGTAATTAAAGGTGCCGCTATGTTAGGGGCTGCCACCTTGTGAAAATAAGTAAAAGTAAACATGACGATGAATATTTTGTTAACATGTTATATATATTAAATAAATATTTTATATATTTGTTGAAGCATTTTACAATTTGGGTCATTATATGTTTAAATATAAAGATACATGCAAAGTATATGCGTAAAAGTGTGACCATACCTGTTAAATTATTGATTTTTTTCCCCGGCTGTCAACTTCATGCTAGCAAAATCATAAGTTGGTGGTACCTAAAATAATGGCGCTGTACGTATGTATACAAAAATACAGTTAAAATGAAATACTGCGCAATTTTAACGCTAGATGGTTCTAGCTTTCATTTTATTTTTATCGCATACATTTTAATTTTTTTCCAAGCTTGCGGGAATATCTAATAAATTTCAATAAAAAAGTATTGTTTACGTAATTTTTATTTTATATGTTACTATGTTTTTATTATTTTATTATTATAAATATATATGTACATAAACATATAGATTTTTAGTGGGGCATGTATTCGTATGCCACGTATACTGCATCAATGGCTGCTGCTGATGTGGCTGCATCCATTGCTGCGGCTGTGATACCTGCTGTGGCTGCATCCACTGCTGATGCGGCTGTGGCATTTGCTGCTACTCCTGTGGCTGTGGAGCCTGTGGCATCTGCGGCGCATGTGTAGCGGTTAGCTTTGCCACCTCTGCCGTAAGTCGCTGAAGCTGCGCGTCCATTTTTTTTATTTTATGTTGCTGCACTCTTATAAGGCTTTGCTGCTAGTCGCTCCTATTTTTCAATGCAGAATAGCTTACAGTTTTGGGCTGGCGAGGCTTAATAAGACGAGTCCCCCTTTTTTTTCGAAATTTGAGGCATATTTAAAAGGGGTCCAAACGCATCCCATGCCTTTTTTGGTGGCTTGACAGGTCCATTTCTCAATTCAAAATGAGGACACGCAATTTCAAACACCGTTATAAAAAAATATTGCCACCCTTTGGTAACAATATGTAAAGTATGTAAATGTTGCCAGTTCGTTTGTTTTGCATAACAGGGGGTATAATAAGAAAAATAGAAAAATGCGAATTTCTCAAAAACCTGCTGGACGATTTTCTTGATGTAAAAAGCAAAATGATTGATATTTCTCGATCTGTATGTTAAACTACCCTGTATTAGGGGCCATTATCGGAGAAATAGAATAATAAAGGTTAAAATATCGCCGCCATTTTGATGAATAAATATGTTAAGTATGTAATGTTGTCAGCTTGTTTTTTTATGCAAAACAGGGGGTATAAGAAAAATAGAAAAATGCGAATTTCTCAAAAACTTGCTGGACGATTTTCTTGATATAAAAAGCGAAATGATTGATAATTCGCGATCTATATGTTAAACTACCGTGCATTTGGGGCTATTATCGGAGAAATAGAATAATAAAGGTTGAAATATTGCCACCTTTTCGTTATTATATAATGTTTTATTCTAAAATGACAATTTCATATATTACTGCATTTCTTTTCCATATACAAGTATATTGAATTAATTTATTCCCGCTCAATACTGTATCATATTGTTCAACACTGATTCCGAGCAGTGGTTCGGTTCCCGTTGGAGCTAGTAGCTCGATAGGCCATTTGAATGAACAACATGAGGTGTGTTTACATTTTGTTATTTTTCTAAAAAACTGGCTGATCAATTTGTTTAGAATTAATGCGTAAAGCTTCCTTAAACATGTATCTTCAAGTTGGTATACCGTGCATTGAGGGCCATTATCCCTGGGAAAATATATTAGGGTTCAAGTGCAAGGGTGATTTATGGTCATTTTGAATGGGGCTAGCAACGAGGTTGCTGCACTGTAGTTCAAATATCTTAAAAACGTGCTGATCGATTTTTATAATTTTGGTTAGGTTTGGTTAGGTGAAACTATAGACTTCAATCGTGTATATGCGGCTTTCGGGGCCATTATCCCTAAACTAAGATATTTAAAGAATGGTGAAAACCTAACTTTTCAACGCCTCTGTTTACCCATATTATAAATTAAAATTAAAAAATAAATGAATGTAGATAGTAAATAATTAAATTTTTTGCAATTCTACATTTAAATTTATTTGGTTTCGTACTTAAAAACATAAATAAATGCATTTGAAAGTAACCGATACTTTCCCGATAACAAGTACCAAAATTCGACGCTAAGTGACCGCCGCTAATTTGACGCAAATGGGAAGGGACTATACCCAGAGAAACCGATGAGCCAGCGGGCGCGGCCCACCGAGAAACATGCAGTTCCGTAACACAAAAGACAAAAAGTGCAGGTTCTAGCCGAATCCTTTAGAAAATTGGGTACTATTTGGTAAAAAAGGGCTTGGCAGGTTGTGCAAGACAGGAACTTTAATGTCCAAGTGCCTTAAGTGCATCTTTCTTGCAATATGAATAACAACTTTTTTAGTCCTAACATAGTTAACTTCTTAAATTTTGCAAAGAAAATTGTTTGCAGTTTTCATTGAAAATAAAATTTGTTTGCTAAACTTCCGGTAGCACCCAAGCGGATTGGCGTGACTATATGAAATTTTGGATAATCACTGCTTTAATAAATATAATTTGAGTAACAGTAAAGACAACATATTCAAGCCACAGAAAAAAAGCGTAACAGACTTGATATTTGAATCATAGGTCCACAAGTATCCGCGCAGTACAGGTAAACCGAGTTCACCGATAATCGATAGCTTTCCCGATTCCAAGTAATAGATGTGAATCCAATGTTTTGAGAAAATGTCATCGGATTTTAGAGCTAGGGTAGTCAAACTTGACATGTAGTTGAATAATAGCTATTTTGCATTTTTTAGCTTTTACCAGCTCCCCGCTATCACGATATATGCAGCTGTGAATCAAATAAATAAACCAATTTGAGCAACGCACCAATTTAAATGCAATTAGAGTATATACTGGTAAAACATAGATTAAAGATGGTATATTTAGATAATAATATAAGGGTTGTTTATTTGTAATTGCTGTAAATTAATGTAGAATTTGAAGACAGTTGCATATTTTGGTTAAGGAGGGGTGGGCCCGTTAGACGCGTGCCAGTATAACGTTTTTTTTTTTGTTTCAATGATCTGCTTATTCACACACATTCGTGTGTGTGTGTTAAGCTCGAAGTAAGGAAATCCGAAATATTTCAAATCTTGTCAAACTTACATCTCCTTTTATTTAATATTTCTATAAGCGTGAGCTATATTTGGACTGACGCAAGGGGGCAATAGTTTCTG